ACCAGACTTTAGGAACTGTGGAACGAAGACATAGAACGTTAAACGAATTAATTCGTTCTTATATATCAGTTGATAAAACTGATTGGGATGTTTGGTTACAATACTTTGCATATTGTTTTAATACAACACCATCCACAACACATGACTACTGTCCCTTTGAATAATTTTCATTAAGAGTGCTAATATTAACAAGGCATTTTATAGTGTAAATGAGCACATTAAGCCTTTATATAATATAGATGATTACGCTAAGGAATCAAAATATATGTTAGAGTTAGCATATAAAAGAGCTATAATAATGATTGAACAGAACAAGCAGAAAAATAAACTTATTTATGATAAGTAAATGACATAGAACTTAAAATAGGAGATAAAGTTTTATTAAGAAACGAAACAGGTCATAAGCTAGATTTTAAATACATAGGAAAGTAGAAAAAATAGAAGAAAACGACAATATCATAATATCAGACATTACAAACAAAAAGTAAATAAGGATAGACTAAAAACTTTTTTTTCGTAGTGATGTAGTATGGCCATATATAAGTAATAATTAGCATTGGTATATACGAACAGCTTCAAACCAAAAAAAAAAAGGTTCTTCCGACTAGGGGATATCCTAAATCCTCTTCTTCCAACATCAAATGTATATATATATTTTATTTTAGAAGCTATATGTCAAGTCAGGTGACTCTAGCAAAAAATAGGATATCAATATCGATAACAAACTCGATCTGCGAAGGCACTAGGAGCACTTACATCTAAAAATTTCAAGTCTCTAGCTCTTATAGGTTCTGAGATCCTTGCGTTCATACCTACGGACAGACGGACAGACAAACAGACGGATATGGCTAGATCGACTTGGCTATTGGTGCTGATCAAGAATATATATACTTTATGGGGTCGGAGATGCTTCCTTCTGCCTGTTACATACATTTGGATTTTGCACAAATACAATATACCCTTATACCCATTTTTAATGAATTGAATCATATATTAGTAAACAATTAAGCAAATTATTCCTTATAAAAAGAAAATAAATTTAATTTTACCTTTTATTACATTCAAGAAAATATTCGCACAAACTAATAAAAAAATATAAAACAAAATCAATTTTTTTTTTAAAGAAAAACAAATTATTATAATGAATTTTAAATTTGCATATTTCTTTATCTTTATATATTTAAATTTTTACATTTTTACAATTTCCTAAATTTTAATAAAGTTTTAAATTCATATTATTTTTAATAGTTTTTTTTGCATATAACAAAAATATACAAAACCAACTAAAAGGTTATAGTTAAGTTCATTAAATAACTACACATTAATAATGTTACGTTATTTTGTTAAAAAGGGAGGTGTAGTGTATTCATACATAACTCAACTTGTAACACTTTGTTGCAAGTATAAACAAATATAAAATATCAATCCAAGCGCATAGCATAAATATAATCGTATATATGTATGCACATACACATATACACATGCAAATGCAAATATACAGTGCGTAACATGAAGCCACTTGAGCAGGCCAAGCTAGCGTGGGAACGCTGAGCTTGCCCTCTAGCCGCTCCGAGAGTGAGCGAACATATGTATACACCCGCTCTCTCTCTCTCTCTTTGTAGCTGTTAACTGATAACAGCATTAGTTTATATATGTTATCCATAGGCTGAGAACATTTTGGAAGACAATAAATGCACTCTTATGAAACTAGCAAACCAGCACAGACGTGCTAAATGTGTTTCTTCTAACATTCAATATAAGGCAACATCAATATATGATATTACAAAATAACTTTTTAAAGAATTATCAGAACACCATATATAAAGATCTAAACCTAGAAAGTAAACAAATAACACTACTACAGTGTATGTATAGGATAAGTTTCAATATAGATATACTATATAATCATTTGAACAATATTGCAGAGAGTATCTTACTCTCCAAATGAAACATCCTCCCTAAGTTTATATTAACCAACGAAGAAATTGATAAAATAACAAAAATTATAGAAATACAAAACATTAAAATACAGTCTATAGAGCACTTGAACAGACTATTGACCCTAGAAACAGTCAAATTAGAACAAACAATCATATTCTTAATAAAGATACCGTTACTAACCAATGAGGATTTTCAAATGTATCATATAATACCACTACCTATTAACGAAACACAGTGCACTATAACTCCCAAATATGTAATACACGATGAAAATAGCTTGAGACTAGTTAACACACCGTGTCACAAAATTCACAAACTAAATATTTGCGAAACCTCAGAAATGGAGGAAATTGCAAGAAATGAATTATGTATAGGCAACATCTTGAAACAAAACACAAGTAATTGTAATACTACATTACATTGGCATACACCAACAAATATTCGAGCCAGAAAAAGGTGTCATATTTATATTCAACGCACCAACAACAAAAATTGAAGGATCAATCATCATCAAATACGAAAACTGCACTGTAAAAATTAACAACAATCGTTATGACGACTGGAAAATCACCATGGAGGAGAAAATAGACATCAGCATTCCGCACATTGAAGGAATGACAATCAACACAACAGTAGGAGATATTAACCTATAAAAACAAATTTTCAGATCTTCCCCCACCAGAAACTAATTTGGGAAATTAAAGAAGAGTCCAAATCACATCTGATGGCACTCAACTCAATGATGCTACTAATGAGCGTCGTAACAGCAACAATCCTTTGAATCCGAAAGAATCGCAGCACTTATCCTATAAAAGACGCGGAAACAATCTCGGTTCAGGCCATACCCTCGATTTGGCCCTCACTTCGCTTTAGGGGGGGAGGATTTAGAATATCTCCTAACGAGGGTATCGCAGAGTCGATCCCTCCAAAGAAACCACCAAGAAGCGGATAGCAGAACACCCCTTCCTTCTCACCTAACTACGTGAGTGGGCATAAGTACGTTGGCATAGTTTGTGTACACTTACAAACCAAGCAATTTGAGAGGATGTGGTTGCGACACTTATGTCGCTAGCCATTAAATACTAAATCAGCACTTTCACAGACTTATGTTGAGAAACTTATTGTAAACATTAGGCTAACATAAGAATGAAGAAATAAATGAGAAGTCAGTCTTGAGTAACAAGTAAAACCCATCAGTCGAACGCTTTTATTTTATATATACGTAATTCATACGTAACAAAAAAACACATCAGTGAACTGTGAAACAGAAGATACCACAACCCTTGTTATACCGTCGACCACGACTATAACTCGCTCACCACTGTGAGCGAGCGACAGCTTTTCTAAGTGCAAGCTCGAAATGCAAGTTAACAGCCTAAATGTTAACAGCAGCTGAAAGCAAGCAGAGGCTGAAAGTGGGCAGAGGCAGCGAGCAACCAAAGGTAGCGAGTTTGTAGCGAGGAAGTAAAGGCAGCGACGAAGCAACGGCAGCGAGAATGTAGCGGCGAGCACAGGCAGTGAGCAAGGACAGGAAATCAAATGCAGCGAGAATGTAGCGGCGAAACAAAGGCAGCGATAATAAAGCAATGTCATATTTAATTGGTGCAGAGAGGACAACGCAGGTGGCCAAATATTGATGTCCTGTAATTGAAGAGTTCGATGAAACCGATATGCTTAAGAGCACTGCAAAGTATATGCAACAACTCCACAAAATGTGCTTTTATAACTTTACTCACACCCTAGCTCTCACGTTCTGCGCCAAAATATTGGATCAAATCTCTTTCTTGATCTTCAAAAATATAATCTCATTTGGGCGGGAGTGGCTGGTGTAAAGTTTTTGTTTAAATGCTTAGTTGCATTTTGTTTAATGCAATTAGTTGTTTAAATGCAATTAGTTGCTAAGAGAAACGAACTTTTTTCAATGATAATGCAGACAGAACTGATTTATTAACATAACCTAAGATTAAAATGTTGGAGCTGATTTTGCCTCATCCAGGAGTCTTGGAGGGCAGCTGTCTGACCTGGGGGCATATACAAAAGCTACTTGTAGTTAAAACATAATTTCGGCCGAAAACAAGCGACATAAATCAACCAGCAAAATGAACTGCTTCGAGAAACGTCGGCAAATTATGTTGCTAAGCCCAATTAGACATCCTTTCATCCATAATTTGTCCCTACTGACTCGTGGATAACTTCAAGCCTGGTATCAATTAAATTACTAGAGCTCTAATTTTCCTGCTTGTTCACTACAAAAGCTGAATTTACGCCATTCGGAGGGTGTCAAGCATCGTTGCCTATCTGAAATCAAAATTGAACGGACAATACATATTCCAGTCGTTGGACTACTTCATGATGCAAATATCCCCAGCAAGGGTCTGAAATAATCTTTTCTCCAGTATTTTTTCCATTAAATGTTGCTTGAGCACAGTGGTGTTTATACCCAATGTAGGCAAAGCCTTTTTTACAAACCCACATGGGTTTTATGTGTTCTTTCATTGTGAAAACCAGAAGTGGCTACTTATTTCCCATTTTATAAGCACTATTGTGTACTCTTACTTCTCAAGCTCACTCAAAGAAAACACGGATCCACTGAAACAGTTTGCACGCTATCTCTTCGTCAATGCAAACAAGTGAGTGCTCTAGTCGGAAGTGCCCAACTAAAGGATACCCTGGACCTTCATCCACTAGAACCAGATGCAGCTCGTGCTACGCGCTTGTTTACTCAACCTTTATACTTTATCTAATTAAATGGGAAGTTGGATATACTACCATACTAGAAACATCTCTTCCATACTCTCATCGCCTCCAGGGAAAAATGGAATTTTTACGTCTTACACGTATAAGTAACAAAACAAGCGGGAGAAATATCTTCATTTATTCCGACGGCCAAGCAAGTCTCAGCAAGTTCCACCGAAAACTGCGGAATCACGAAGGAAGATTTATAGTTCAAGTTAGTTTAGGATAAACTGCCCTCGGCTATCGTGATATTCTAACCTACACATGGACAAGTCTCTGCCTGATGCTTACATTCCCAAAAAATTTTATAAATTCTTTCTTACCTCACGTTGCAGCTTACGGCGCTCAACTTTTAGTTCAGCCTCTGCCTTTTCGGCTGCTTCTGCCGTGCTTTTATAACGTATAACTTGTGTTTCAGATCGTGCTAAGTTAGCCTGGAGACTAGCGATTTCCTGTTCAGCTTTTTGTAGTTTATATTTATAATCAGATATGATTTTATTTGATTCTCCTGTGAAAAGCTTATTATGATAAATTTAACTATTATTTGACTATATTTTAGACTTACTTTGAACCTCATAGTCATCATCGTACCTTAAAGAGCCACACAATGAACTTCCGCGTCCAACTCTACCTTCACTTTTAAATGCACCTAACTGTTCATGAAGCTTTTGTATTTCATTAAGAAGTCTCTGCTTTTCTTCTGCAAACTTTTTGAGTCTAACATCTGAAAAGATAGTTTTTAATCATAGCTTTTTATGTTTACTCAGTCATACTTACCAAGAGAACCCTGTACGGTTGACAAAATATTGGCGTTTTCAACACTCACTAGAGCCCGCTTAGCGTCACTACCATCACTATTCTCAATGGAAACAATAATAAGACCGTGCTCTTCTATTAGTGCATCTCGCTCGCTTAACTGGCCTTGCACTAGGCTTAGTTCCAGAGTTGTGCGTTCCAAGTTGCGTTTGAGAGTATTGCAATCGCGAAGTTTGTTTTTGAATTCCCGCTGCAGTTGCGCGAAAGATTCTTCCATTGTTTCACTTTTATCTTTGAGTAGCTTTACTTCATAGGTCTGAGATGAGCGGTCGTTGTCAAGTTGGGCATTCGTTATCATAGCCTTTCGAAACCGTTCTTCAACTTCCTGAAATAAAAAAATAATAAACAAATTAGAACACAATTGGTGGACAGTTTTAATACACAGTTGAATCACAATTGCACTTTTTACAAGTAAGAGGTTCTAGTCGGGAGCTCCCGACTAGGGGACACCCTGAACCCTCTTATTCCAACATCAAATGCATATATATATTCTATTTTAGAAGTTATATATCAAGTTTGGTGGCTCTAGCTCTTATTATTTACCCAATTTGCTAAAAAAAAAACAGGATGCCGATATCGATTTTTATCGATTGCTTGGAAACAGAGTAAGTTATCGATTATCGGAAAAACTCGATCTGCGAGGGAACTAGGAGCATCTACATCTAAAATTTCAAGTCTCTAGCTCTTATAGGTTCTGAGATCCTTGCGTTCATACATACGGACGGACGGACGGACAGACAGACGGACATGGCTAGATCGACTCGGCTATTGATACTGATCAAGAATATATATATTTTATGGGGTCGGAGATGCTTCCTCTGCCGGTTACCAACATTTGCACAAATACATAATACCCTTTTTACCCATTTTCAATGTGTTCGGAGTATAAAAAGAGTTTCCATATCCGAGATTAGAGAGATTAGTTCGCATAGAAACAGACAGACAGATATGGCTATATCATACCTACTGTTGATGCTGATCGAACTTTTTGGGGTGGAAGATATCTTCTATGTGTGACACAATATATTTTATGATAATTATACCGCCTACAAAGGTTTACAAAATATTGATGACATGCTCTATTTCGACCTTGGATTTGACTTGATTTTACACTGGAAATTGAGAAATGTTCTTAACTATCGTTATCTTTGTAATTACCTGTTGTATTTAATATATTTAAAGATACCTACTTTAAGCTCGTGTTTAATATCACGGAAACTGCGACCTTCGTCCTCCAATGAATCTTCACTACTGCGTCGCGATGCTGTTGCACGTACCAAATTTACAAGACCACTATACCCATGGCGCGTGGGATGTGATGAGAGTGTGTCAACACTACCACTTGTGCTTTGCATATCGAATGCACGGTCAGCGTTTTGCTCCAATTCTTTTTGTTGTCGCTCAAGCTCACGCATTCGTATCTCCCGAGCTTCAGCGCGAGCTAGGCGACGAGCTGCCAAGCGCGCTTCGGCCTGCATTAAAGATAATAAGAAAATAATTAGTTACTTGCTAATCTTATAATCCTTAACGAGTACAAGTAAGAGGTTCTAACGGGAGCTCGCGAATAGGGAATACCCTGAACCCTCTCATTCCAACACCAAATGCAGTTCGCGCTACGCGCTCGTTTGAAGCAGGGTTCGAACTCGCAACTGACCGCATTACTTGCTGACGACTCTACTCAACGGCCACAGCAGCCAAAGAAATAAATAGTTTCCCCGGTAGGGCTCGAACTCGCGACAGACCGCACCACTTGCTATGCCTCTACTCAGCAGTCACACCAATAATTGAGTATAATTAAGTAAAAACTAATAAAAATAGCAGCACAGAAAACAATCGCAATTGCAATGCTGTTGATAGAATTCGAAGCACACGCGCATACATGTGTGTGTGTGTACATGTATACAGAAATTCTTGCAATTTTCGCTAGCTGCCCCATCCAATTGAGCAGTAAAACATAACTTTGGTTTTTTCTTAACCGATAATGAAATTTTCTACAGTATATCTTATTGCACCATAGAACATTCGTGTATTCTCAAACAGTCAAGTGCATTAAAATTGGCCTTAAATTAGTGGCCAATATAAGTTGGGTTATTATCTTGATTTATAGGTCTACGGTCGTAGCGGGTAGGTGGCGATAGGTATAAAATAAAAGATAATACACAAAAACAATATACCCTTTAACCCATTTTCAATGGGTTCAGGGTATACAAATTGAGAATTCAAAAAAGAAATTGTTTATGTTTTAATTAAGCCCCAACCCCGACGTCTAGCTGGCAGTGGTACTGAGCTTGGATTTCCAGGAAATAATCGTTTAATTATCGCTATCAACTCATCAACAATCCTCCAGGTTCAGGCTCAGCTATCAACTCATCAACAATCCTCCAGGTTCAGGGCCTCCTTTGCCGGCAAAGCCGTCGTCCAGTAAGCGGCCCAGCGTTACTGCCTCACAGTCGCAGTGGTCCTGGCTGAGAGTTTTTACGCTACTAAAATTTAAGCACGGCTTTCACCGTGGGCAGATCTCCACCCGTGCCGTGAGCAGCAGGCCAAAAAAGGTCCGGGGTTATTTACCATGATCGTGACACGAGAGTCGAATCCTGACATAGATCATTAACTTCGTTGCCGGTACTCTTCCCACGGTTGAGTGTTAAGTTGTTAAGTGTGTAAGAAACCATTTGCAGAGTTTTTATAGAATTCCATTACCCTGTACGTGGAACAGTTCAGATTTAAAAGGTTAGCTTGAAACGAATAATAGAAGGCACTACTTTTGGCTTGTAATAAACAACAGGAGGCCATATACTTATATGCAAGGCACAGCTTTGCATCATCGGCAAACAATAGTATTCTAAGGAGAGACAATCTCGAGGGAAGGTTACTCTGATACCCAGTGAAAAGCAGAGAAAGCATAATTTGTGAAGTAACAACTAGTGATTAGCTAAATCGAAAGCTCGGCTAAAATAAATATATATCACAAGTCTACATTCTTTTCTTAATCATCAGTTACTAGGGAAATAATAAGAGCTGCATAATTGTTGCTTGAAGAATAACGTACAATTTGGAAATATAGTTTAGAATGGTATATAAATTATAAAGAGTATAAAGATTCTGTTTTAAGTATTAAAACAGGTTTGCACAGTGCTACAGCAATGTAATAATCTGATTGAAAATGCATTTTGATATATGTAACTGATGTTGAGTCTGATTTTAAGTATATCTAAGAAAAGTCTGCATACAGATTAGCATTGTCCGGATCCCATTCGCATACGATGAATAATTATCGATAGGTTCTAAAAGATCTGGTTTCTGTACCATAGCTCCTTTTCAGCTTTTCTACGTGCTTCCTAGATACGTACCACCTTGATCAACAAGTTCCCGGAATTTGTTCAGAAAATAAAAAATACAAGTTTATTCATGTAAATCTATATTATTCCCTTTAAAGTAATCCCCATCGACTGCAACACACTTATGTCAGCGCTTGATCCACCAGTAATTTCTGAGATTTTTCCATTACTTCCTCTCGGTTGCTGAAACATGTTCGCCGTAATAGTTTTTAAGCTCGAATAAAAAGAGAAAAGTGACACGGAGCCAAATTAGGTGGATTCGTTGACCGTTGGCTGGTATTTGTTGCATTTGACGTGAAAAAAATACGAATAATGTGTGGGACAAGGCGTTATCATGGAACAAAATCCTCGAGTTCTCTGCACTCAATTCTGGTCTCTTTCGGCGAATTGTTTTATGCAAACGTCTCATAGCGCCCATATAATAGTCTATGTTTACTGTTGGGCCTGTTAAAAAAAATTCATAACGCACTACACCGTAGTAGTCCATTAAAACCGTGAGCATTGCCTTCTTTTTTTTACTGAAAACGACGTGGTTTTTTTGGTCGCGGCTCATTAGGTGAACGCCACTCACCTGCCTGATATCTGGATTGCGTGTCGTACTCATAAACCCACGCATTGTCTCCAGTAATGATCATTTTGATGAATGCGGTAGACTGAATCCGAAGTCTCGCAAAAAATGTCTTTTGCAACGTCAACACAGTCTCTGTTTTGCATGAAATTAAGATCTTCTGGCACCAACCTAGCTGCTACACGACGGAATTCCAAATCATTAACTAAAATGTCTTGGACGGATCCATAGACAATGTTCAAGTTCTTTGCTATCTTTCTGATGGCTAATTCGCGGTTGGGGACCGACATTTCGTTTACTTTATTAATGTTTGCGTCGGTTTGCGATGTCGATGGTCTGCCACTGTGTTCACCGTTGCCAAAACACTTTTTTTTCGAACGTTCGCGCTCCATAAAACCCGTTTATTACGCAAAATTTAATACAAGTTCGTTGCTGCAAATTTAAATCCATTCGTTAAAAATCGCCAAAACACAGATATAGATGTGCTCTTGGCTACGTAACTTTTGCAAATGTCAAGCTATGACGCTAAATATTAGAAGGAATATCAACAACAGATGTACCAACTTAACAAAAACAGTCAAAAAACAGATCTCAAATCGAAACGATGGGAGCTCCACACGCTGGCAATTCTAGGAATTTTTTGATCAAGGTGGTATACCTATCATCAAATGCTGGTTAACCGGCCAGGATTTTCTTAATTTCTTCAAAAATAAAAGCAAATCGAACTAAAGCCAAAAGTAAAGCATCAACATCGCAGCCTTTTGCAATGATGCCTGGTTTAACTATGTAGCTACATGACGCCAACGTTATTTTCCACTCTGCGATTCTAGCCATACGATTTTACACAAATACTGAATAACAAGCATGTAATCGTATACAATAAATAAGTAATAATGGTGAATTCCGAAACATAATAAAGAACAGTCTGTTTAATCAGTAAGTATATGAGATTTCGTACAGGAATAACAGTACAATACATTTATATGGACTCTTTTATGAAGATTGTTATTGCACAAAGCTATGTTCTAAAATCATTTTATTTTGAAATTCTTTTTTTTTTTTTTTTTACGAAAATTTGTTATAATTTCTATGTTTTGTAGATGGTTATTTTTAAATTCTCCAAGTAATCAACGTTATGTTTCATAAAGCTCTTATTCTCCTAAACAAAGACATTGTCGGATATCGGCTGCGCTAGGTGCGGAGCCCCAAACTGCCCGTAGAGATGATGCGGCCTGCGGCGTGGTTACCAACCGAGGCGGCTTTGAGGGTTTTGCACGATTGGTGGGAATAATGAGGTTAGCAAAAGAATCCCAGTTCACGAGCGGGGTTGTTAAATTTAAACTTCAACCTTTATTGAACTTAACCAAAAAAAACTATAATTACTAATTTGACCTACACAGAGCATACGTCCGTTGGCTTGGACTGACGCTCACAGACTTCTACATATGTCGCAAACTCCGCTGTTACTAAGCGTGCAAATTCAAACCTCAATAGAATTACGAAATACAAGAAAATAAGATAACTTAAAGTAACAGAACTGAAATCTCGAGCGCTTGAGAAAGACACTAAATTCAACTCAACTCAACCGTGATAGCGCGTGATCTATTGAGTGATAAGACATTACTCAAATGCGGCTAATCTAAGCGCAGGTACATTTTCGTTAATCGCTCTTTTCATGCGCTCTCTTATAATATCCGCTCTTAGGCTGGCGCGATTGCTCTTGCTGATAGGCTGTAGCCCAAACATTTTCCCCCCTTTGATGATTGCAGCATTCATCATCAAATTTACGTCCGCCAACTGTCAGATTCTAGGGCTATAATGAAAATAGAAGAGTGCAATAGAAGAGAAGAGTGAAAATAGAAGAGTGCAATTTAACATTTACGTAAAGGTTAAGTGTCATTATCAAGCCAATTCTCTTGTATGGGTAATGGACAGAGCTTTGTTTCTGGCCGTTTGATAACACTACTGCTTGTTTTTAGAGTCACAACTCTAACTAATCCATCTGCATCAGCATGAGTGCTTGTAATCCGAACGAATCCTTAATTAACACCATGCATCCAACATCTAGGTTTCTCTTCATCTGCAGCCATTTTGGTCTTCTCTGCAACCGTGGCAAGTATTCAGTTTCACCTTTTCCAAAATTGCTTTGAATAGTATTGACAGATTCTCCACCGATGCACTAAACTCAGTAGGAGGTGACAAGAGCGCATCACCAGTGAGAAAGTGACCGGGGGTCAACACCATTAAATCCTCAGAATCATTCGAAATAAGAATTCGAAATTGATACCTCACTTCGCTTACGCTCAGACTCTATTTTGCGACAGTTTCGAATAAGACGTTTAACATATGCCATAACTCGAAGAAGTCGGGTATACGATGAATATTGACTTATGAGCATCGAGCTAGGCATTTCTTCCAATGATATCTTGTGGCAAGTCAAGCTTCTTGTCTCAATACACACATGATCAATGTTATTGCAAGGCCATCCTTCTTCCGGACCTTGTAACCACTGCGGTCCATGCCACCCCATTACACATGCCGTCAACTTAGATACGCTAATTCCCCG